TGTGGTAATATAACCTATTGATCATTTTATCATTTTCTGTAAGGCCTTTGTATAACTAGCAGTAAGTCTAGGAGATGTGGGCATTCTTGGTGGGGGTAGGAGTATCTTTGCTCAGAGTGCCTCATTCTGTTTTGATTCTGCCAGTTTAGAAGGAATAGGAAAATGGGTGAAAGTTCAAGGTACAAGGTACACAGTTGTGCTTTCTCATGGGACTTTCCAAACTTTCCCATGAGACTTTCTGTGGCTGTATGATCTCATCCTAGCAAGGTAACATCTGGGACTTTCCAAGATTGTGTGTTCTCATGCTGGTGAAGTAATCTCCTGTTGAGGTCATTGTTTTCTGAATATGCATACTGTATTTTGCTTGTGTTTTTACTCAATAAATACTGCTACCTGAGTTCTCTCAGGGTTGGCATTTTTCTCAGAGACAGTTCCCTGTGTCTCATTTCAATGTCAAACCACCATACACCACTGGTGGAAATACCAGACACAACCCTAAGTGTGAGTCCAGTGCTAATTCAGATAAACAGAATTTAGGACAAACCCCTTTCTATGCATGTCACACATGTAGGGTTTCTCCCTCTTTTTTTGTCAGGCTGGGTAATTTGGGGCCCATTAGTGTCTCACAGCTTACTCCACTGGGCAGTTGTGGGGAAAATAGGGGGAGGAAAAAGTAATCATATAGTTTGCCTCTTTGAATTACTTATAAAGTAATCAAGGGGGGATAAATAATAAATAAACAAAACCAGCCCCTTGAACCGAGTCTGGTAGCCAGTGTAGATGGGAAAGGATTGGAATAGTATGTTACATAATTCCAATCCTCCTTTCCTACCCCTTTCTCCCAAATATTCATTTCTTCCAAATAATTTTACTGCTGTGTAAAATTATTGCATAGTTTCACCTTAAATTTCTCACTAATTAATCTCAATTTATCCCTAAACCTCTGGACATTTTATCTTATGGTATTTTATCTTAAGTATTGATCTCACTATAAAAAGAAGAAACTAAGAAAGGGCTCACCGGAAGAGAAGAAAATAAATAAGAGGCAATTCTTCTCAGGACAGAAATAAAATGAGGATGTGGCTTTTTTGGCTAAGAGAATTAACTTCCGGTTCACATAGTCCTACTTTTCATGTCTTTTTTGTCCTGTAAGAAATTGCCCAAATTCCTTCTCTGCAGGGAAGGGTCAAAAAAATTCAAGATGGTGGTTGCCATAATGGCAATCATAGGTGACACCGATAAAAGATGGTGGGTGTTTAATCATGCTGCCATCTTAATCCTGTTCCCTTGCAACCGATGTCCCTGCTTCACATTTTAAGATGGCTACCCTCCTGTTCTTCCTGAATTTCCATTCAGTGTTTTTTTGCATATGATACATACAAAAATCACAAGACAATGGGTTCACAACAGTGATTAACTAAGGTTGCAACCCTTCAGAGAGAAATATCTTTCAGAAAATAAGAGGAAGCCAATATCGGCTTCTCCAAATTATCCTGTCACAAGTCATGGTTTTCGAAAGGTTAGACTAAATTCAGTTGTGCACCTCAGTTGGGAGCTGGGACATTTTAAAAAAACATTTCTTGGTTATTTTTCTATCTCCCCTTCCTGCTAAATATTGAGATGGCATGCATTATAGTCCTTTCATCAAATGTTAATACCACAATGACTACTTTGTCACCTATGTTGAGTTGAGAAAAAAACACACACAAAGTTGAGTCTTTCAGCACCTTTCTTGACAGCTAAATTATAGGAAAGGCAAAATTTTATTTTAAAAAGTGTTACCGGTAAGGGAAACGGGCAGCATACTTGAGTTAACCACATCTACGGTTTTGAGCAAACTGTAAAATGTCAATTGTTTCTTTCACAGCACGGATGCTTCCTTTCAGATCAATTTGATCACCATTACATTTTGTGAAAAATAAAAGTTCCTTTCAAGGGTCACTTAGGCTAATTTCAGCCCAATTGTAATAAATTGTAATTGTATTGCACTGATGAGGTTACTTAATTTGGTAATGAAATGTCTGCAAGAAAACCATAAAAGAGAGAGCAACAAGGACACCACACTTTGAACCTAAGCTACACATATTTTCTATTTATAAACATATTTTATAGTAGGTATGAATTTAAACATTTCTTTCTATGCATCTAAAGTATTGGAGGAATATAGTAAATGCTCCAGTTAAAATTTCTTCTACTAAATACTTCACTGTGTGGATCACAGTTATTCAGTCAATATATATATATATATTTGAATTTTGATGTGAGAGAAGTCTCTAAAATTAACATGGACAGTTTAAGAAAATAAAGAAGTGGATCATCAAACAAATCAACCTACATTTTTTGGCTCCTTTGTCTCTCTGAGGTTCATGATGATGATATCTAGTTGGGTAATGAAACACCTGCAAGAAAACAACCAAGCTCAGGAAGAACTAAGGAGGCCTCATTTCAAGCCTGAGTTGCAAATGTTCTTCTTTATCGCAACCTAGTGTTCTCATTCAAAGCACAGATGACCAGCTTCAAATGATCATACTTTGGGCATATTATGGGAAGACTTGGTTCTCTGGGGAAGGCCTTAATACAGGGGCGTCAAACTCAAGGCCTTTTGAGCTTTAGATCTGGCCCACGGCCCCCCCTGGAAACAGTGAAGTACTGGCCAGCGGTGCCTCTGTCAGCAAAAATTGAGTTTGCAAGGGGCATGCATGGACCTTCCAAGCTCCGTTTCTTCTGGCAGAGAGTTGCAGGAGGCCATTGCAGCTGAAAACGGAGCTCGGGTGCCCGTTTTCCCTGGCGGAGCGCTCGGGACACCACAGGTACCCCTGACATGAGTGACATTGAGCTGGCCAAGCCCACCCTGTCCACGCCCACCCCATTGAAGGCCACGCCCACCCCACTGAAGGCCACACCCACCCCACTGAAGGCCACACCCAACCCATCTGATGCAGCGCTCAATAAAATATAGTTTGACACCCCTGCTTGATACTAGAAAGCATAGAAGTAAAGATGAAAAGAAAGTGATCAGCAGCAAGGTACAGTGATGATGGCTTCACTGTTGGAAGACCCAAGAAACCAAGTTAGAGATAGGCTCAAAAAAAATGAGAATATTAGTAGATGGTTGAACTAGGGAGTTTTTAAAGTTCTCTGGGCATGTTTGCTTGTAATCATGTTGCTTGCTTGCAACCATGACCATACTTGAAATATGCAGTTCTGATCACCACAATTAAAAAAAAAAAATCAAAACCTCAAAAGTATGGAGAGAAGAGCAAGAAAGAACGTTAAGGATCTGGAAGCTAAATTGTATGACAAACGTTGAGGGACCTAGGTAGGTCTAGCCAATTGGAGAAGTGGGAAAGGGGACACACATGATAACTGTCTTCCAGCATTTGGGGGGCCATCAAAAGGAGAGGGGATTGACTTATTTTCTAGGGCACTGATGGACAATTTTTCTGACAGCTATGCATTGTGGATGCTCCATCACTGGAGGTTTTCAAGATGAGACTGGACAACCATTTGATTGGGATGGTATGAAACTTGAGCAGAGGGTTAGATTAGAAGACTTCTGAGTTCCAGCCTTACGATTCTATGACTCTATGATATTATTGCAGATGTTTCATAACCGAGCTTGGTCACACCACCAGTGCTGACAATGTGACTAAATCCTGGTTTATGATTCTGCAGGTTAGAAGAGCAACTCCACAGTGATTTGTGCTCTACACTGACAGTTTTGCAAGGATTTTCACTTGTTTTTAAATTTTGTATTCCCTTATTACTTTTATTGAGAGTTTAGCTGCCTTTGCTTGATTGCAATGAGTAATCATAAAGATCAGCTAATTTTAAAATAAGCAAAGTTTGTGAAAGTATTGCAATGGCATTCTTATAAAATTAAGATTGCCCTATGGACTGAAAACCTCAAATTATCCATTAGATGGCAATAAGGATTTATACCTTTATTAATCTCTTTGCTGCCATCTAGTGGACCAGCATGGTTATGCAACTCCAATTGGCCATTTTATTGTTACCTATTGGTAATATTTTCAGTCTCTGCCTGGATGCTGTCCATGAAACCTTACATCATGAAACCTGTTAATCTTTAAGATATTCCTGGACTTTCCATTGTTTTGGTTGTAACCAAAACAATTGAAACAAAGCACATTTATGCCTTTGTTAAACAAAAGCTAGTTTTAATATGAGGGGGCAGGAAACAAAGGGCAGAGAAGAAGAAGAAAACTTCTATCGTGTTTTAACTTCATCACACTAATTTTATACCAAGTTTTGGTAATGAACCAAAATCCTCTCGTATATCTCTGCTTCTCAACCTCCTTTAATGTATGTCCCCACCCCTTCTCTCTCCTTTGAGGGATGGACTTTCTTTTCAACATTAAAAAAAACACCTCTCTCAGATTAGAGCTGATTGCAAACTCCCTGCAAAGCTCCCTCAGAGTTTTTTCTTATCTTCTTTCCTTGGGAACCAACCTTACTGCAAACTAATTTCTTATCCTTCCAGGCATGGATTTTCCATCGATGCTTTTCTACCTGGGCACAGGTGAGTGTCCCTAGCAAGGGAAATCCTATTTGCATTAATTGGGGACCCCCCTCCCTATCTCACCAATGTCTTTATCCTAATTAAGATCCTAAACATAAAAAAAACTTGTAAAGTCCAGCTGCAAAAATCAGCTACTTTCCACCCCACCCCCCAAAAAAATCACATTTCTTTTCTTAAAGCGTTGGTTTAAAAAACTGTGCTACTTACTCCTTGAACACTAGCTGCAGTCTGGGGCAAACTGACTCTTTCACCAGCTTCACAAACAATGCCAATTCCTGTGTTAACAATGCCACAGGACAAAGCAATTTATAATAACTTTTTTCAGCTTCTCCTTTCTAGAAGGAGGAAATCATAATACTCCAGTCATCTAAGGGAGTAGATCTGCGAAATGGGTAACATTAATTTTTTTTCTTTAAAAAAAGATTTACTGACATCTACAAGGTATCTTTATTTTGTCACTAATAGCCTACCCTGCCAGCAAAAATATTCCTAATTTTGCAATGGTGGTGAATACCTGTAGCTCGGGTGTAAGATGAGGGTGAGGGTTTGTCCTCCAAGCTTCTGGGTGGCTTCCAAGTATTTTGTTACCAGACTGAGTCACATCTTCAGGGGAGTTTATGGGATGTCAGGGTCAGTGTTCCTGTGTTTATAAGGGCTCCAGGTGTGAGCATGTCAAGGGAGGGTCTAGTAATGGGTCAGCTGTGAGTTATCAGGGAGTCTTGTGATGGGTCTTGAGGTGGGTTGTGATAAGGAGATTACATCAGGGTCATCGGGAGGTGAACTGCGGCTGATTGTGGGGGGTGGAATTGCATGGGTTGGTTGAGGGTCAGTGCTGTCCCTGGTTGGTTGTGTGGTTGATTTGGATTCTGAGGGGTTCGTAGGCTGGTTGTAGGTCGATGTGTCTGTTGAAGGGATTGCTTGTGGAGTGCCAGGCTTTGATGAACCCACGAGCGTGGCAGGTGCTAGCGTAGCCACCAATTTTTGTGTTGCTGCAATCAAATTGGTGCTGTTTGGTGGCAGTGTGGGTAGGGTTTAAGGATTTGGGATTGTGGTGTTTGACTGCCAGCCGGTGTTTGTGGATCTCGGTTTTTAATTGACAAGGATGTTTTGTCCCCCATAGAATTGGTTGCAATGGTCAGAGTTGATTTTGTCGATTACATTCTTTCAGGGATGTCAAACTAGTTTCTTCGAGGGGTGGATCAGCTTTGTAGTTCTCCTCTGCAGGCTGGCCGGGGTGGGGGAAGATGGAGACAGGACAGATGCCTCCTACAGCACTCTGCTGGCCAAAATGGGGAGTGGGAGACTGACAGGGCATATCCCCCTGCACTCCTACACCCTGTTTTGGCTGCCAGATGCTCATGGGCCAGTCCTTTGCTATTTCCAGCCCAGCCCAGTGGGTCAGATTTAAGCATCCCTGCATTGTTGCTTTCCTCCTTCTGTATTTTGTCTTTGGTTCTTGATAATTTCTGGCAGAGTGTGGCTGTGGGTTTGTGAACTATTGTTATTCCTAGGCGTTGGAGGATTCTGGTTGTCGTTTACAACATTCCTTTTGTGTACAGTAGGGTAGAAAATAGGGGACATATCCCCTAAACTCAGGGGTGGGCTTCAAAAAACCTAGCAACTCGTTCTCTGCCCAGTTGCTGGGTGGGCGTGGGCGTGCCCATGATGGGCGTGGCCTAGTTGGCCTCCTGTACCACAGCAGCACGGCCATTTTCCCCCTCTCCATTCTCCAAAGGCTTTCCTCGAGCCTACAGGAGGAATGTTTCTCCCCCCCCCCCCGCCAGGCTCTATTCCAATAGTTCCAGGACGGCCATTTTTCTCCCTCACAGAGCCTCCACGTGGACCCCGCACTTACCTGGGATCCAAAATGGGCTGCATGGAAACTCCTGGGAGGGGAGGGGTGGGGTGGGAGGGGCTAGCCAGTCATTGCAACCACCTGTTCAGGAAACCTGATGTAAAATTAACATCCGGTTCGCCCAAAACGGGGCGAACCAGTAGCATCCCACCCCCATCTAAACTTCGCTGAAGATGTTACCTAGCCTGGTAACTAAACATTTGGAGACCAACCCACAAGCTCGAAGAACGAACCTTCACCCTCATATTCCTGATTCTGCCTCCTTGACAAAGGGGAGATAATTCCAGGTAGAATTCTGAGCCTCCTTAAATCCATCATTCTAGCCCTCTTCTACAAGTCTCTCTTCCTGACGGAATGTAATTTGAGGAAAAATGTGTGATTTTAAGAGGCTCAATGAAAGTCTCTTTATCTCCAACAGTTTGGGTGCACTTGTGCTACGGATTCAATGTGGATGTGGATACCCCAACGATCTTTGAAGGCCAGAGTCAGAGTTTTGGCATAAGTGTCGCCCAGATTGAGAATAAGTAAGAGGAAATAGGTTTTTAATTTGGTTTTTACACTCATTGCAATGCTCAGGGTGGCTTGCTTCAACTCTCATTTTCTATCCTTACCTCTTCCTCATCTGCAGTGTTTACTCCTGTTTGTTGGAGACAGTCACTGATTTGTTCCAAGCATTGCTCTTTGTAGAAAAAAAACTGTATAAATTAAGATATGACATTGATTCAGCTCAGTTTCAGATCCTCTCTGAAGAATCTGACAGTGGAGCTAACAAAATATTAGTCTATGTTCATTGTCTCACTAAACAATTCCCTTGTTGATAAAATAATAGCTGCGAAAAACTTTACATTTCTATGTAACTTACTGTATTATTTCTAATCTCTCTATCATCTATTTGTCTGTCTGTCTGTCTATCAACTATCTATCTATCTTTCTATCTATCTATCTATCTATCTATCTATCTATCTATCTATCTATCTATCTAATCTAATCTAATCTAATCTAATCTAATCTGCCTGCTTGCCTGCCTGCCTCTCTCTCTCTCTCTCT